CACACACACACACACACACACACACACACACACACACACACACACACACACACACACACACACACACACAGAGGCATGCATGCACAAACACACACACACACACACATTTCATATTCGCTATACAGTAAAAAAAGCACGACTGTGCCGAACAGACTGTTTCGTCGGACTTTCACCAACTCATCAGGAGGTTGAACCCTGACAGTCGGCCCAGGATTCATTGGACTGATGGATAAGGAGTCACCATATCGCCCAGAGTTAAGCATCATGCTTTGGAGTGCCCCCTACAAAAGTGAGAAAGCTTTGAGAAATTAAGAGGCAAGATTTACAAGTGATCGTCATTCCGCGATTTGAAAGTTTACCATTATCGTCTGTGTTCGAATTTCTCTTTGGTTCTTCAGCCTCTGGAGGCGCAGTAAATGTGTCATCAAAGAAGACACTTGTCAGATGCTGTTTCAAAAACACCTGCAGAATCAGAGCGCCATGATACAGTGTAAGACTCTGTGGCATTGTGACAAACCTCTCTTCCCATGCTTTGATTACAGCAGGTTAAAAAGTGAGCAAGAGCCGTTATGCTCAATGACAAGATTCACCACCATACAGAAAAAAAACCCTCACACACACACACACACACACACACACACACACAGAGCAGGATGAACAGCATCTATTCCATATCCAATCATATGTAAGCAACGACGCAGAAGGAAATGGAAACAGAAATAAGTACAAGAAAACCGAGGTGGAAAATCGTGCCAGTGTCAGTAGCTGTTGCATACTGTAACGTGCAGACCAGAACAAGAACCGACGTTTCAATACAAAGTACAAGATAACACAGCGGAAGACTTAGAAACCAGTGATCCGATCAATCAATGTTGCAATGCAGCCCTGAACATACATCATCATCATCGTTACATGGTGTGAATGGGTCTGGCGCTTCACACAGGAAGACAGCGCCAGCCCGTACCATACACAGACGAAGAGGAAGGGGATAGACGAAGAGGAGGGGGGAAGATGGGAATGCCGTCAACACCAAGTCTTCGGCACAAGCCCAAATAGTCCCTCGTCGAAATGTCTGAATCCCAAATGTCAAGTCTGGATCCAATGTCGTCAAGTCTCAAGTCACAACTCTGTCTCTCTCTGTCGTAGTCTGAGAAGTCAGGTGGCGAGAGGGTGAGAAGAGAAGGTGGACTTAGAAGAGGAAGAAGAAGAACTCTCTTCTCTGTGTCCAGTACTAACCTGTGAAGTTGGCGCCTTGATGCAGATACCACGAAGATGGAGCTGGAGCGATGGCGCCACAGGTAAGTACCACTGGCCTCCGCCAGTCTCTCTCCCACTCTACGATCTACCACCTACCAGCGCCCAGCGCTGAAGACTACTCTATGGCTATGGCGCCCAGCGCCGAAGACTACAGATAGCACTACTACTACTTAGCGCTGAAGACTACTGCAGCGCTCCTCCTGAGTGCTGCGGCCGAATTCCTGAAGACTACCAGTGCCTATTGAACTACCTCTACTGCTTACCGTGAAGTGCATGGGAAGGTCCTATGTACTACTCGGCCTGCCTCCTGACTGCAGGGCGAGGCAGTCCAGGAGGCTGCTCTTGCCAATGCCGCAGGGAGTCAGGGGCTGCCGCTGCAGCTCCTGCTTGAGGCAGTCGTGGGAACAGGCTAAAGATAGCCTGTTCCGAAAACCCTGGTTTTATGCCTGAGGTTTAGGGTAGGTCGATCTTATGAGGGCCCGAAAGTGGCCCTCCGTTTCAGGCTGAAAAGCCTCAGGGCGGAAAAGCCCTGATATAGGCTGAAAACGAGATAGGGCCTGCAGGCCCTCGTTTTCAGTTTCAGGCTGAAACGACAGGGGGCCTGTAAGCTCTATTTTCTAGGCTTTTAGGCTGAAAGTGCGGGACGGGCCCTGCAGGGCCCGTGTGGCTACGCAGTATGCCACAGTAGCCCACATTAGCAAAACAGAACGAAAAATCGACAAGACAATGCGATTGTCCCATTTACTACGCATACTTGTCGACTTCACTGCGCACCATAGCTATGACTGCAGCAGTGCACCTGCATGAAGCCTACATGGCCAAATCCTACAGAGGAGCTTCCATCAGCGCCTTCGAGCAAATTGGCACAAAGAGTGCTAACATTGGCAGTGCAGAAAGAGTGCTAACATCGCAGAAAGAGAGCCAATATTGTTTGGTGGATCCACCAGCAGTTCAGCGAAAATGACAAGAAAGAAAGAAGGCGCCAAAAAAATTGGTGGGAAAAATTGAAAGAAGAAGACATAGAATGAAGGAGCAAAAAAAAAAAAGAGAACCCCCCCCCCTTCTTGAATCCTTGATTCCTTCGACTTTTCCCCCATTCGCCAACCCACCACTCTCGCAGAATGGCTTTTTTTTTTCCACAAATGATTGAGAGGATCCACACACATCGGAGGATCCACTAGCATCGGAGGATCAAGCAACGACTCGGCGAAAACGAGAAGAAAGAACAAAGACCACAAAAATTGTGTGAAGACGACATCGGAGGAAGGAGAAAAAGAAAAAAGAAGATAAAAAGTCCTTTGATCCCTCCTATTTTTCCCCCTTCTCCAGGGCACCACCCTCTCAGCCCTTTGCTGTTTGCAGGAACAGTTCTTTCTTTGCAAAGGGGGGCTGTTATTCACATTTTCACCTTCGCAAACGCAACCCCTCCGCAAGTCTGCGACGAAATAACTGTTGCTGCAAATGAACAATGCCAAAAGCAGAGCACTAGCCGGACAAGAGTTGAAGACCCACCAAGGTAAGCAATCACATTAAATTAATAAAACCATATAAAATACTATTAAATTTTAAAAGAGTTATTAAATACTAAACGCGTAGTAAACGGTAAATACTAAATACCTTGATCCACCAAGGTAAGCAATCACATTAAATTATTAAAATGATAAAATAATAAAAACATATAAAATACTATTAAAGTTTAAAAGAGTTATTAAATCCTAAACGGTAAATACTAAATACCTTGAAAAGGGTCTTGCGAGTGTGTATGTCGTGCACAAAAAGATGTCGTCCCAGTCCTGCACAGAAACAATGCAGCGCCATTGTTACTTCAGAAAGTGCCATTGATGAAAACAAAGGACTCTACCACGACAAGAAGCAAGTGTGAAATTGTGAATACTTGTTGATTACTCTATCGAGTCTATTTTTTAAAAAATATAAACAGCTGCATTTGTCCTCCTCGCGTGCAATGCAAAGGCATCATAATTAATAATTATTGTCTCATTCGTGTGTATCAACTGTAACTACTGGCTCAGATACATCAATAATGGCTATATGACCCTCCTACTACCTCCCATGCAAATATCCCACCACTGGGCCACCAGCATATTCTGGAGTCCTCCAGTTCTTGCACAAGGCGACATCTGATCATCGTTCAAATATACATGCGACTTCATGGCCTTCCCGGCACACATGATTTTGGGGCAATTCATTAATTTGGCTAGCATAAAGTTTTGCAAACGTCTGCTAATTTTCAACACCAGTTCAGACTCAGTGCACACCTAGAGAGATGAGACGGGCCAAAAAGAACTAAACCCTAGCACTGTAGCACATCAAATCCAGCAGGATGACCCAGCCAGGTCAACCGCCCAGATTAAACAGCTCCCGGATATAACGGGGATGATGCCAAAATGCCGCATAGCAGGCCTGGAATGGAGATCTGAATTGGGGGATGGTTCTCGGCGCCCCTGTGCCAACCCCAACAACCCGAAATGGGGGTGTTTTGCCCGTTGGGTCGCCCGAGAGCATCCGGGGGTTGTAAAGGGGATTAACATGCAGAAAACCCCTCGTAAAACCTCTGGGATGGAACACATCCATCCCCTCCTTCCCTCTCTCTCTCTCTCTCTCTCTCTCTCTCTCTCTCTCTCTCTCTCTCTCTCTCTCTCTCACACACACACTCACACACACACACACACACACACACACACACACACACACACACACACACACACACACACACTCTGCCACGGCAGGAAAGACCACTTAAGTTCTGCTGGTTTGAAAGAAGAAGAAGAAAAAACAAGAAGCCCATAAAATCTGGGCCGATGATCCACCAAGATCAATGGCCCAGATCGGGACCTTTTTTTCCTGAAATCGGCAGGGATTACCGGCCTTCTCGTCGCATGGTCCTGGCCTCGAGGACCACCCCAAAAGACCAAGGGCCTAAAAAAACATTTCTGGGCTCTGCAGCTATTGCAGGCTTTGCAGCAAATGAAGATCGGGCGGGATAAATCCGGATGCTCCAGGCCAGCCGGATATCCGGCGGTGCCAAATAGCTCAACCGATCTTTACATTTCTTGTGCCTGCATCCTGTTCTTTTGCTTCGTTAAGAGTCGTCCTGCAAACTATGTTTGCTCTCTTCTTGCTCCTTCTCATGTCCTTTGCCTTTTCTCGATTTGTGTGTGCCATCCTTGCACAGGGGCCATGCTAATCTTCTCTGAATCGAACGAATTTTTTTAACAGTCCAAAGTACTATGAACTTCATATATGAGCCCTCTATCTAGAGTGTCTTCGTTCTTCGTGCATGTTCAATTCTTCTCCCATACTCACCCATGTTCTTTCCCTCCTTTTCCTTTCGCACCTTTCCCAGCTCCCCCTCATCCAAACTGCCCACTCAACCAACATCTCCTGCTGTAAAGCATACAAAGACGCCCAGCCACTCACCGCATGATGCTATCAGCGGAAGCGTAGGATGTCTGGCAATGCTCCGAATGCTCGAAGAATGTCCACGGTAACCCCCAGTCATCCTCCCTGCAGGAAAAACACATACGATTCAACAAAAGAAAAGCACCATAGCGCTTTAGTAGTCACATAGGGGCACAGAGAAAGTTATGTCTGCTTGGCCTTGCTTCCCCTTTTCTTCCCTTCAACTGGACACCGAACAGCGCCCTGCCAAAAAAATCAACCCCTCAGCTTCTCGAACCTCTCTGCCCACTTTAACCCCCCCGCCCCCGCCCCCGCCCCCCCCCGCCCCCTCTCCTTCCTTGAATTGCTCTCTCCTGACCCCTCCACCTCCGTTTCCCACCATCTCCCCCCCAACCCAGATTCTACAAGCTTCAGTACATCAAACCATCAGTCTCTCCGAGCCTGTTTTGTCAAACCAACAACTTTCGGTTCCCAAACGAGACGAGTCCGTTGCTACCAGGCCGGTAGACAAAAAGCATAAACTCCGGGCTTTATTGGCGATGGATGTCTTCAGAAGGGCACGAACAGACTGGTGGTCTTATGACAGAGGGAAGACCCCTGAAGCTTTTCTGATTTGAAAATAAGACATGGGAGGATAGGATACAAGTAGGGTGGCAGCTCTGTTTGACGATATATGGTCACATAACTTATTAGCTATGAACGAAAAGAGCGCACTTTGCGAAACAAACGGTAAAGAGGTGTGATGTCCACGGAGGCTAAATCAATTGAGGTGAAAAAAAGAAAAAAAAGAAAAAAAAAAGCAAAGAAACAACCCGCTACCTCCTCCCGATTGCGGTGTCTTGAGTCAGGCAAACCGATTGTGGTGTCTTGAGTAAGGCAAACCCTCTGCTGACAAGAGGCCTGTTACTTCCAACTCTGGATACAACGCCCCCCGGGTCCCCCTCCTCAGTCTCCCAGAAATATGAACTAGACAGTTTCGACTTCTTTGAGCCTATTGGAGAAGTTTTTACCCAATCAATTTGAACCGAACAAGCAGGAAAGGTTGGCTGCATCAATGACAACAACGGTCATGCCAGACCGAGCGCTTCTGAATTTCTGAATCCACTCTGCAACCCCCCACCCATGAAGCTGAGGATCACATGTAATTAACTACATCCCCGCTTGTTAAGTGGCTTAAGCCGGGTGAAAACCGAGTTAAACCACCCACCGTGACAGCTGAACCCCCCCTGTTTCGGTTCTTAGACTAGTTAACTAGTAGTAGTCGGGAAGTTGCAAAAGGCAGTAGGGCAGCCGGGGAGACGCGTTTGTAAGGAGCCCAGCAGCGGAGCAAAAATCAAAACACAGGACTCACATAACAGCCATCCTTGGGGCTCTGAGGGGGCTCGAGCGATTTTAAAAAAGGACTTCTCCACTTTCCCAAATGAAGCCTATTTGTGAGCAAGTCCACACATAAGTACATTTTACCTTGTTTGAACTTTGAAGTTGTTTCTTCTTTTTCCAGTTCTTTGTTTTGCAAAGAGTTGTGTGCCTGTTCTCTCCACGAAAAGCATACAAAGTCACAAACCGTAAAAATCGATCGAAATTGGGTCCTCTGTTTTACAAAAAAGGTGTGTGTTCTCTCCAAGAAAAGCATACAAACAGTTTAAAAAAATACTAAATTGTCACTTTGGGCCCTCATCCCCATAGCATGCCGAGATGCTGGTACGGCAAGAGGAGCACGGTTCCTATCTACCTCTACGGAACAGCGATTCACACTGCCGGTACACCGCCCAGCTACCTGGAAGAATGTGCCGGGTTAACAAGGTGCCGCACAAAGATTCAATCCACTGGAGGTGGCACTCCCGGGGAGGAGGGGGCGAAACATTGCGGCTGCCCCGACTTTGCCTGTCAAAAAAATCCTGGCAGAGATGGGGTGCATATGACTACCGCTACCAGGTCCGACCCCCACAACACTTTGGTAGTCCAGGGGCGGGCAAAAACAAACATCGGGAAAATGAGGCTCAGAGGTAGTCTGCTTCTGGCCAAAGCTTCCAGGCAGTGCAATCCAATCGGAAGACACCTGATTGCTACTTATAAGTCTAAGTCTGTTCCACAAGCCAGACCGGTGCTCGATGACATAGAATGACCAACCAGGCAGGACGACCAATACGACTGCCACGCCCAGACCCGACGCCAAGAATGGTTCGGTAGTCCAGGAGCAGAAAACTGACCTTTGGGAAAATGAGGCTCGGAGGTACCGGCGTCTGAAACCACCACTCTTGCTGCGGGACCAAAAAAGTTCCCAGTTGGTAACCAGTTAAGTCACAACCAGGCTCGGAAAAGAGGCCCGGAGCAGGTCCCGGCGGGGTGCAACTTGAAAACAGTCCCCCCAACCAGGTTTGGTTGGAATACCGGCCCACGGTCGAGGTCCGGCTCCAAAAAAGGAGTGGGGGGTTAAGGAGAGTCTGCTTCTGGCTATAGCTTTCCGAAAGTGATAGATATACAACAGTAAGAGATCTCAACCAGGCTCGGAAAAGAGCCCCGGAGCTCGGAAAAGAGGCCCGGAGATAGGCCTCTTACAATAAGGCCTAGCTCAGTTGTTGGTACACCCATGAACTGTTGAGATACAGACCTGAGATCGAATCCAGAGGGAATCAGATGATGGGAAAAAGAAGAAAACAAAAAAAGAAGTCTATTCCACAGCGCCACATTGACGCACGATAACTCAAGGTGGGCAGAAAAAAGTTCGTTGGTTGGGACTTACATGTCCGCATGTCGAAACAGACCAGATCCCCGGCTGCATTCCCCACATACACAGCATTGTCGCCTGGTTCAACCGCAAGTGCTTTGATTGCTGTTTCTCCATATGGAAGCACCACGACTGGCCGCCTCGGTCCAGAGGTGTCATACAATCGTACCTGCTCCCATCCCAATTCACAGCAATGGAACGCAACGCTCCGATATCAAAGGAGGCCCACATGGACACACACACAAGGCTACTGACCAGATGCACACAGATGCCTAGAGCCGAATTAAAGCACACACGTTACCCAAGTAGTTCGCAATGAAGTCGCCCAAGTCCCAGAAAGCTTCAATCCGTCTTCCCAATTGCGTTACATCGAACGACTACAAAGGAAGTACATCATTCTTGGAAGAATGCTCTGAAGATGACTGTGACGAAGAGCACAGAGGGGAATGGGAAGGAGAGTAAAAAGAAGTTTTTGAAAAGATTGCGAAGAAGATTGCAAAGGAGATTGTGAAGTGAAGGAGATTGCAAAGAAGAGTTTCAACGACCAGTACACCCATACATTGGCTGCGGGCCCCTTTCGGAGGCCAGTAACGTTGCAGAGGCCGCCGATGGAATGTACCAAAGGCAGCCCCACCACGCCCGGCCCCGACTTTTTCGTTGGTCGCGACGAATTTCTTTATTCAAGGCTGGGGCCTTGTACTGGTGGTTTCAGGAAGACTGTCGAGAAGAGTGTAAAAAAGAGTGTCCAGAAGGCTGTGGAGAAGAATGTGCAGAAGGAAGAAGAGAGTGAAGAAGAGAGCGAAGAAGAGAGCGAAGAAGAGAGTGAAGAAGAGAGTGAAGAAGACAGCGAAGAAAAGAGCGAAGAAGACAGCGAAGAAGAGAGCGAAGAAGAGTGTGGAGAAGAGTTTGAAGAAGAGTGCAAATTTGCGAATGAAGACACTGAAGAGGACGTCATGAAATCAGCAAGTCCTGGTAGTCAAAACCACAAAATAGGACTCTAGGAAATACACCAATTACAACTATATCCATACACTCACTCAGATATCCCTTCAGTCAATAGCTATCTCCATAACTCCGCCATACTTGTCCATTGTTCATATACCCCTTACGACGCAAAGAAAAACCGACCACAAAGCTCCAAGAACATGACACCAAACCCTTAGAAGAGAACCAGATGGGAAGAAAAAACGAGCAGAAAACAACGAAACATTACACACAGCAAGTATGAATACACAACAATACGTCTGCAGACAATCAGACCTATTGTATTACAGACAGTACAGCGGTACTACCACCTATCGATTTACATACAGTACGCATATCGTGCAAACAGCAAGCACGGGCTGTCCAGCGTGTCCCACATTCCCAACGTGTTCCCTGATGTTGTCACACATTCCCAACAAGTTCCTTGAAGCTGCCATACATTCCCAACACAGTACCCGAAGTTGTCACACACTCCCAAGAGTCATAAAAGAATATTAAAAATGCATCATAAGAAAGCACATGACTAGATCCAACTGCTTTTTAGCAAAGGCAGCAAGCTTTTATTTATCATAATAAATTAAATAAATACATCTTGCACGTTCACAAAATTATCAAAACGTTGTCATAGGGCCTCGCTCCACTACTCACCAAATTCACCAAAGTCAAGAAATATGGCTGCGTATCTTTCCATGTTCTAGCAGAAGATTCATTCTCATGTTGCACATTTGGTGAGTAGTGGAGCGAGTCCCATAGCCAAGACAAAACATGTGAAGGAGTGGCAAAGAGATCAAAACGAGCAGTGGAGAAGGGGGTAAAAAACAATAAAAAGGGCGACGTGCAGAGACCGAAACGACCATATCCTGTCCTGTCCCCCCCACCAATTCCTACCCATCAAATGGGGGGTTCTCCCTGAGATTCTAAACTGGCAACCCATACAGTAGTGGAGATGACTACTAACAAGCTAAGCCACAGATTAGGAGGAGGAGTGAAGAGGCAGAGGCATTTTTTAAACACCTGGTGGCAGTGGAGGGTTGGAACTGTTGACTCAAGACAGAAAGCGGGCAACAATGAGATTCAGCAAAGCCATCCACCATACCTCGTGATCTGCGGTGCCAATTACCACCTTCCTCTCATCCCCATTAAGGAAACTCGTTCGCGTAACATACGGCAGAACTATTAGCCCAGTTTGCGGATCTGGCTTGGCCTGATTAAGACCATGTCCCCCAACAGGACAAGTCCCCAAGGAAATCAACACACAACAAACGGAAACGAAAACATGTCCGCAAGTGCACGCAACAAGAAAGTACATCATTCTTCCTCCTCTTCCTCCTCTTCCTCCTCTTTTTCTTTCTCCGGGAAGTAAAAGCAACAAGAAAAGTACATCATTCTGCCTCCTCTTCCTTCTCTTATCCGTCGTCGACATCAGCATCCTTGTTCCCCATCTCAACACGATTATAACCGCATCATTACCACCGCTGGCATTCCAACCAGCACCAGAATCATCACCATCATCATCATCATTTCAAAAGCAACAGCACTTGTAGAGTCTCATCGTCACCATGACCATTGACATTCCGTGCATCATAATTGTCATGCTCATCTCCACAGCCATCTTCCTTGCTATCACTGCTGATACGTTAAGCCAAGTCGTAACGAAATCCACAGCCACACGCTCTACCCGAAACAAGATTCGTCACGTGTCCATATCTACATTTACGACGAGACCAGATGGTTAACCTCAATGCATTTAATAATGCCCATGCATATCCAATCAGGATAAGATATGCCGCAATTGGGTGGTAAGTCTCATCCAAGGCTAAATACATGCCAAGGGACAGAGAGCGAAGACGTACCGCGCGGAAGGATGAAAAGAGGCTTTGAAAAGAGGTTGCTAGAGAGGATAAGATACGGAAGGATATGGAGAGATCCAGTCCCAACTGGACTGAGAAGACGTGTAGCGGTTCCCATCCAGATGGACTACTGAACCTACCTACCACAACCCTCAGACCATTGCGAAATCTCCGCCAACGCGGCCAGCAGAAAGAAACCAGTTTCCTGGTGACCATATTGAATTGATTGACTCAGGCTGGAATCCAGGCCAAGGTGCCAAATTCGTTCGGGCTGCACCCCCTTTGGCACACGTCCCCGGGTTTTGGGGTTCTGCAGCAAGTTGGCTCTTCGCCGCTAGTTGTTCCCACTCTAGAGTGCTGCATTTTTTTCGTTAACAAAAAGGGGGTAGCACCTTACATTAACATCCATCTGGCTAAAAAAAAAAAAAAAAAAAAAAAAAGAGTATATATCTGACTCCATAAGCAGGACTCAAACCCAGTGACATTAATTAGCAATTACTGTTCCCATTCGTTCTTATATCTACAGGAAACAAGAAGCTAAAAATAAATAATAATAATAATAATGATAATAATAATAATAATAATAATAATAATAATAAAAATAAAAAAACAGAAACACCAACAATAAGGGCAAGACACACAGATTCAGTATTACGGTACTATTACCAAAACTTAGGCGCAAAAGGATGATGAGGGTTGGAGAGAGAAGTCTTCAGCAACAAGCTCACACATTCTTTTTCTGTGTGTGACATAGATCCAACGAAAACTGACAAAGAACGAATGCGAACAGGAGGAAGATCAACTGCACAGGTACCAGAAGTATTGAAAAAAAAAGAAAAAAAAAAGAAAAAGGTAATAGCCTTGTAGGCTGTACCTGAGTGGTGTACACACATGGAACCACTATTTTTGTTTTTGTTTTTTCTTTATTGATATCCTCCTTTGATAGGCAGGGGCCACGCTAATCTTCTTCTCTGTATCGTTCTTATTTTAACGGTCGTCCTGAAGGACACAGTACTAATAAACAAACAGATCCTGAGTTCAAATCCCAACGACGAATCCAGTAAAAAGACTTACACGCTGCCCGCTTTTATGAAGAATCAGAAACTAGATACAGCAAACCCTTTTCCCTCACTCCAGCACCAAATACAGAGTATTCCAGAGATAAACTGAAGCCGACAGAAAAGGACAGAAAGGTAAACTGCAGGAGAAACAGAAATTATAACCAATCTGTACACGTTGCTCAAGAACAAACGATGTTAGCTGAAATCCAGCTAGGATGACTACTCACATTTCTGCCATGCCATTTACGAGTTTGCGTCTCTAAGTCCCAAAGCGCAACATCGAGAAGCTTTCTGTCAAAGGAAAACAACATGTTTACAACCCAGTCAATTTTGATCAGTCCTTTCTTCCTCTCTTGTTCACAGAGTGCCACACACCCACCAGCCCCAAGTACACAGAATCACACCATTCACAATTTGTCTTTTTCTTGCCCAAGTACACACAACATTGAATATCTAAGGGCCTTGCTCCATCACTCACCACATGCACCAAAGACAAAAATTATGCCGGTGAACTTTCCCATGTTCTAGCGGAAGATTCATTCTCTCTTTCTCTCCTTTCCTTTTCTTTTCTTTTTTGCAAATTTGGTGAGTGGTGGAACGAGGCCCTAAGTCTCAAAGTGCAACATTTGAGGAGCTTTCTGCCAAAGGGAGACAACACGCACCATACACTCGCTTGTCTTTTCTTCATCTCTTACACGCGCGCGCGCGCGCACACACACACACACACACACACACACACACACACACACACACACACACACACACACACACACACACATCTCNACACACACACACACACACACACACACACACACACACACACACACACACACACACACACATGCATACACAGAGAGCAGTGCACGGACCACCCACCACCCCAAATACATGATTCATTCTGGTCTTGGCTGAATTTTGTTGGGTGGTGTGGCACATGGTGAGAGTGATCCCTGCACAGTCCTGCCATTGGTGCTCCGAGTGAGTTTAAATGAATATACTATTTATTCAATTTCTTATTTGTAATGCTATTTTAAAAGATATGGATCATCAGATTGACGCCATTATCTGTAGAGAAAAGACTGTCAATTGGTTCTTTAACTTCTTTGCATTTCGGTTCTGAATCGTCCTATACAAAGAACAAGGAGGGGAACATAGAACCGCCTTACGATCAAATTGTGCCAATCTTAAGACACATTGCACAGACCCTTAAGCCGGAGGGGGGGGAGGAAAAAAGCGCACAGGTCCTATCCTTCAGGATGCCCTTCAGAATTGGAACAACTCAGAGAATATTAGCATGGCCACTGTGCAACGATGACATGCATAAGTAGAGAAATCGTCCAAAAAGGGGGCAAAAAGAAAACGGAAAGCACACAGAGGTGACAGAGCCTTAAAATGTTTAGGTCCGCAGGCGCCCGGCCTCTAAAGAATGGGTTACAAGGTTTTACCGCATTCTTAGGAGGTTCCGAGTTTGCCTGCGAAAGGTAGTGGTGATTTAAGAGGGGGGGGGAAGGAGGAGGGGGGGGGCTGCGGGGCAAGCACACAGGTCCTATCCTTCAGGACATCCAATAGAATTAGAACGATACAGAGAATATTAGCATGGCCACTGTGCAACGATGACATGCATAAGTAGCGAAATTGTCCAAAAAAGAGGGAAAAAAACAAAAAAAAAACGGAAAGCACACAGAGGTGACAGAGCCTTAAAAAATTTAGAGAACTTAAACCACCAGTACTTCCTACAGTCATGCCCGTAATCAAGCCACGACTTTAGGAAACGTACGGGCCACTACAGAAGCGCCCAAATTCATCTGACTGGAAACGTTTCTACTCCATTTTTTTCCACAGCCGATAGCTGGGCCAAGTACTGGTGGTTTAAGAGACTGTAAAGATTAGCTGGTAGGCAATCTTCACACAATAATTGGACCTTCACCAACTTTCAACAGCACACATCATCCGACATCCTAACAACAAGATGGGCAGAAAGGGCCACAAAACAGACAAACGAAGTACAAAAAACAAGAAACAATCAAAAAAGTTTAATAAAGTACCACGGTCCTACCTGCTTCCCCCAAGTAATAGAACATACGGTCGGTCATTTCTGCTGCATCTGGACGAAAAGGTGAACCAAATACGGCTATAATGACCGTACGTTCTCTTCACAGGATGAACACGGTCCCACCCGCTTCAGCACCTCAAGAACCAGAGCCCCCCCCAATAGGAAACTTGAGGTGAGAGTCTGGAAGAGGAAACTTCTCATCAGCTCACAAGCTCAACAAATGGCCATTTGAAATTTTGACTTTGATTTAATACATTTTTTGAACTAATCATGCATACATTTTCCTTTTTTTTTCTTTATATCATTCACAAACAGACAGCCACATCAACATCAAGAGCACATACGCTTCCCAAAACAAAACAAAAAAAAAGCACGTACCCTCCAACACAGATGCTTCTCTCGGAACGATCCATGGCTGTGCAAAGTACCGACTGGTCATCCCTCTCTCTTGTTTTCATTTGTGAAGACGACGACACCGACCACGCCCCTCCGTCCAAACATACGTTGTCAACCTTCAGGCAACCATCACCATTGCACGAGACGATGCCGAGGTGTTCCCTGAGCACACAAGCAGAGAAACGATGGGACACAAACTGCCACGTGTCATTGACAATCCCACACCAGCAAGCAGAAGCTAGATAATACATATTTCAAGTTTTTAACTAGGCTACCAGAGTGGCCCGGGGTCACTTGCCCGGCCGGGCCAAAAATAAATAAAACAAATACAAATAAAACAAATTTTTTACACTTTAATTTTTATTCTAAATTTGGTGAAGAATGTCGATGCGAGCCTGAGGCAAAAGTTGTTCAGTTTATTTTTCTGCATAACATAGTTTTTTTCTCGAATTTTTTGGATTTTTTTTTTTTTTTTTTTTTTTTCTGGGACCTTCCCTGCTCCTTGCACGGGCTGGCCACCCGGGACAAGGGCGACCCGGCTGGTAGCCTAGGTTTTTAACCATTTCCCTTTTTTTTTCTTTTTCCAGAATTGTTTTTTTTTTTCTGGTCATCTGATTGCATCTGGATTCAAACTTGGGTCTCGATCTCAGCAGTCCATGGGTGTACCAACCGAGCTAGACTCGTTGGTAATGTGAAAAAGTCGTTCAAATAATCATTTCACGCAGAAGCTGCTTTTTTGTTTCCCCGTTAGAATGGTCGGCAAGCGTCTACTAAGTAAGATGCGATTTCATTTGTAGTAGACGGGAAAAAAGCCGGCCCGGATCTTATCTTCACTGGCAGGCGATGCGTTTGATGGGGGAGTGGAAAGAAAGGTACAAGGGGCGTCTTTCCTTTGGATGGATGTCTGAGCGGTTGAAGAAAGGTATCAGGCTTGAAAACTCGTGCCGCGTGGATTCTCAAGTCTCGGACTTGCGGTTGACATCGAGCATGAACTCAGYCGTGKCTTACTGTCCAYGTATACGCCCGCCCGCCGCCTGCACGAGACGGCGTAGACAGCAACGTATGGCCCGGAAGGGGACCGGCTCCACGTATCAAGTCACTTATCCYAACCTTACACCTTGTGCTTCATCAAAGCCGTTCTTCGACTTTCGCATACTGCGTTCAGGCGTGAGCTATCACTAGGCATACCACACACGTGTTGCTCACACCCTTGGCCTGGGCCAGCTTCAGATGGTGTGGGAAATTTGGAGCCGATTGAAGGCCCAACACCTTAGTCCGGAGCGTTTTGCCTCTTCTTCATCCATCCGTGGAATTCGGGGGCCCTCACCTTAAACCCTCAACATATCACGTCGAACGATTTGAAAGTCAATAATTAATTATACATCATCCGTGGAATTTGGGGCTGCTAAAACCTTTAACCCTCAACGTGTCACGTCGAAAGATTTGGAAGTCAATGATTAATTATACACCGAGGTCGACCCTGCAAGAGAAAGTTTAAGAAGAAGAGTCTCGATAGGTGTGATGAATACAAGGTTCCACAGCGGGCAGCCCCTAAGGGCGGCCAATCAACACGATCACTATTACTAAGTTCTAGCAGTAAAATCTACACAGGAGTTACTACTAACAACAACAAGGACAGAGCACTTCTTGCCCTTCTCCCTGTTCATTTCTTAGCGCAGTTCTTCTTCTCCCCCTTCTTTTCTCTTCTTTTCTCCCATCATGAAGAAACGACCCCCCACTGTCCATCACCTCCTCGCAAAATTTCATACAAGGTTCTCCGCTCTTGCCAGAGAGAGGAGAGAAAACACTGGCACTGGAATCGTCTATCCCAAAGAAACACATATTCAAGGTGCATCCCTCTGGTGTCTCGAGGAACTAGGGGTGATTTAAACTTCAAACTTTAACCCATCACCACCCAGGTTGTTTGCTTGTTCGTTGGTTTGTTAGTTTGTTGGTTTGTTGAGCACCACCGCCCAGGTTGTTGGTTGGTTTCTTGGTTTCTTGGTTTCTTAATTGTTTTGTTCATTCGTGTGTTTGTTTGTTTGTTCATTTGTTTGTTTGTTTGTTTGTTCATTTGTTTGTTTGTTTGTTTGTTTGTTTGTCTGTTTGTTTGTTCGTTTGTTTGTTCGTTCGTTTGTTCGTTTGTTTGTTTGTTTGTTTGTTTGTTTATTTGTTTGTCTCTTTGTTTGTTCGTTTGTTTGTTTGTTTCTTTGGTTGGTTGGTTGGTTGGTTGGTTGGTTGGTTGGTTAGTTGTGCTGCGAGCAACTTGGTTATTTCTTTCAGTTGCATAATTAGATTGCAATGACAACACTAAGAAAGAGCCGTGGAGGAAAAAGTACTGCTAACGGTAACAAAGTAATATATTCCGCTACACTATTCTTTGGCCATCGTTTTGAAAGTATAGAGTGCAAGTATCCGGCCAGGAACATGAGCTTGCATGTAAGTTGTAATTCCGGAGAAGTACAGGAACGGAACAACTCTCTTACATCTTGGTCTTTGTTTCTCGTGGATCGCTCCCCTCCACTTCCTTAGGACTAGTTTCCTCTTTTGGCCAATTGTACCATTCCTAACTTGGCGAGTCCAGGAGGACTAGTTTCCTCTTTGGGCCAGTTGTACCGTTCCTAACTTGGGAGGATCAAGAAGACTAATTTCCTCTTTCGGTCAGTTGTGCCATTCCTAAGTTGGGGAGACCAGATACACACATTCTGCACTTGGAGGGAGCAACAGAGTGTCTAGATTCACTCCCTTCAGACGACCTTCCCTTAGAGAACGCCGTACACCCCAAGTTAGGAATGGTACAACTGGCCAAAAGAGGAAATCACCACTATATAGACTACATAGGGGCACCAGAGGAGAGCAAGGCTTGCGAAAAGGGGTACCCCATGGGAGCTGGACCATGAGGGCTTGCTTGTGCCTCCAAGAGGGGTTGCTTGATAATCCTCCTAGAGGGGTTGCATGAGGGGTTGCTTGCTCACCCAGGACAGGTGGCTTGCTCCTCCATGAAGGATTGCTTGCTTCTTCGGGAGGGGTTGCATGCTCCCTGAGGGGTGGCTTTCTCCTCCGTGACACGAGAGGTTGCTTGCTCCTTCATGAGGGGTTGCTTGATCCTCTTGGCGTGAACCAGGCTGGAACCGGGGCTTGAACCCGACCACAACCCGGCTGGAACCACACGGGAACCACACGGGAACCACACTGGAACCACGCTGGAACCACGCTGGAATCACGCTTGAACCAGGTTCAGTGTTGGCCATTGCTGTACCATTGCTCAGCCGGAACGGGAGTGGAATACCATCGCTCAAGCTTGGAGAGAGGTACGACCACATTCCTAGGACATCAAGGGCCGTTTACTACTCTGAGTGCAATGGGCCACATCAATAGTCAGGGTCATTCATCACGGCCTGAATTTCTCATAGCTAAAGAATTGTGAGTGTGTATTATTATGAGGGCACCGAATCATGCAACCATCAATCACCTTGAAGCATTCTGACGGTCAAACATATGCACTCCCCTCACACATGCCCTTTCTTTGGCAGTCACTTTGCCCGTCGAATCAGAAGTCGCAGCAGGCGGGGCTATCGTCAAATGTGTAAAACCATTAGCAAGATTCAGCACATCCACCTGAGAGAACCGTTCGTTCACAATGAGACAGCAAGCGTGAAAGCAGGTAAGTCCACGAGTCAGGACAATTCACAATACAAAAACAAGCAGTCCAGCAATCAAGCAAACAATCCAGCAATCAAGCAATCAATCCAGCAAGCAAGCAAGCAATCCCGCAAGCAATCAAACTATTAAGTAAGCAATCAAGCAAGCAATCCAGTAACCAATCAAGTAACCAATCAAGTAACCAATCAAGTAACCAATCAAGTAACCAATCAAGTAACCAATCAACGAATCAGGCAATCTATCAAGCAAGCAAGCGATCAAGCAAGCGATCAATCAGGCAATCAATCAAGCAATCAAGCAAGCAATCAATCAAGCAATCAAGCAATCAAGCAATCAAGCAATCAAGCAATCAAGCAATTAATCAAGCAATCAACCAACCAAGCAAGCAAGAAAGAAAGGTTACTCAGCCAAGCCAGAGAGGTTCCTTAGCCAAGCAAGAGAGTCCCATAACCAAAACAAGAGAGGCCGCACGGCAATGCAAGAGAGAGCTCACTTAGCCAAGCAGGAGGGGCCACTTTGCCAAGCAAGAGGGGTCACCTTTTTGGGCCAAGCAAAAGGTCACGTAGCTAAGCAAGGAGGGATTAAAAACAAATAAATAAATAAAAAAAAACAAGAGTCAGAAAGCTGGAACGTCTACAAGGAGCCAGGACGATTCGAAATGAGCGGCACAAGCAAGGAAAAAAGAAAAGTGCCGCAGTTCAAAACCAGGGCCGCAGTCGCACGATCAAAGAGGATTGGATTAAGCGCCTGAATCTGGATGTATTTTATGCAGAGATGCAGAAAAGCAGATAAATTTCGATTTTCTGCACCTCTACACAGACACGTCCAGATTCAGGCGTCAAGTCCAACCCTCTTTTACTAGTGGAGACCTCGCCCCAGAAGCAATCACGACCGCAGACAAAGCTGGCCTGTTTAGAGAACCCCCGCATCACCTGCAAGAAGCCGGGCACAAGATTGAGGAGAGCAGCGATTCGCTGTTATGACCCCGGACGCAAAGACGACCAGGTGCGAGTGAGGTAATAGTAGGCAATAAACCCACACAGACACAGCGTAGACTATCCATCATCATTCATATAGAGGAGGGAAAAAAGGGTAAAAAGGGTATCAATCCTTCACATAGATCGTCAACCAATTACACAAAATGCAGCACTCGGGTGAGGAGAAAAAAACGGGGTCAGAAACCATCAAAAGGGAAATAATCACTGCCAAGAAAGATGTGGCTTTGTCTGTATAGAACAGCAAACAGAACCATGTTCATGTTGTATACTATTGCAATTAATCGCCCACTGTGCCACAAAAATCACAATTAGGGACACGGACGACAGCTAGTTAAGCCGGACAGGCGGATAAGATAGACAGAGGAAGTATAGAAAGATAGCTAAGTAGATAGTAATAGATACAAAGATAGATAAGTAGATAGTAATAGATAGATAGATAGATAGATAGAATAGACAACGGAAGGACAGGCGGACGGAGAGTATCTATCTGTCTATCGGACGCAGAGTATCATACATAGATAGATCGATATCTCTATCGGTCGGTCGAATTTAGATCAGTTTAGATCTATCGATCGACGCAGAGTATCTGTCTATCGGACAGATAGATCTATAGATGGACGCAGAGTATCATTAAGCGATCTATCGATTAGATTTTAGATTTAGATTTAGATTAGGTTAGATTACACTAGATTAGATTAGATTAGATTAGATTAGATTAGATTGGACTAGATTACATAGATAGATAGATAGATAGATAGATAGATAGATAGATAGATGGATGGATAGACATGTCTGTCCGTATATCGAGCGATCTGTCTCTCTTCTCGGTTTCTCTCTCTCTCTCTCTCTCTCTCTCTCTCTCTCTCTCTCTCTCTCTCTCTCTCTCTCTCTCTCTCTCTCTCTCTCTCTCTCTCTC